CCCACCCCACACACACACACACACACACACACACGCACAGGGAGAGAGAGAGAGAGAGAGAGAGAGAGAGAGAGAGAGGGGGGGGGGCAAACGCACCCCCACACTCAGGTACAAAGGCATGCATCTACTCATTCCACAAAACAAAGGAACAATTGTAGCAAATGTCCAAGATGATGAACTTATGGGTTATTTTTGGGGTTGCTAACAGGAGCGCTGGCGTGGGCTTCTCACACATACAGAGTAGGGAAGACTCCACAGCAGCTGAGTCAGCAGAAAGCCCAGTCCAGCATGGCTGATGGCTCATGAACGCTGCTGCCCTGGAGCTCCCTGCACAGCTTGCAGGCAGCTAGACAGCCCCACAATTCTCTTCTCCCTGCAATTGGGCTGCTCAGAGTCTCCTTCCCCAGCAGGTGCTGACCCTTTTTATACGTTGGGGAGGGGCCTTTGAGAGTCTTCCCTCTGCCACCCTCATCCCTCCCCATCCCCCAGGGAATATTTCAGTTTGGATGAAACTGCCTTACAGCAATGTTCCAAATGTGCTCTAGTTAGGAAAGAGTTATTGTGAAAAAATGTGTATATTGGTGCTTTTGGATACAGCATCATTTAGAAGTCTTTTTTAAGTGTGTGTGTGTGTGTGTGTGTGTGTGTGTGTGTTGTGAGTGTGTGTGTGAAGTGTGTTGGTGTGTATCTGTGTGAGTGTGTGTGCAACTGTGTGTGAGTGTTGTGTGGTGTGTGTGTGATTGTCTGTGTCTGTGTGTGTGAGTGTGTGTATTTGTGTGTGAGTGTGTGTGAGTGCGTGTAGTCTGTCTGTCTGTGTGTGTGTGTGTGTGTCTGTCTGTGTGTGTGTATGTTGTTTGAGGTTTCCCTTTGATATTTTTCTGGATCGTGTATCTATGTATTTATTATCATTTTTTATTTTAAAACAATCTTTTCTCATTTTATCCACCATTCTCAGTCCCCACTCCCTCCCTTCTCTTGTTACCCAAACCTTCTCCCCACCCCACACCACCCCCCCGCACCCATCCACTCCTCAGAGAGGGTTAGTCTTCCTATGGAGACTCAACAAAGTCTGGCACATCACTTTGAGGCAGGGGCAAGCCCTCCCTCCTATGTCTAGGCTGAGCAAGGTATCCCTCCAAAGAGAATGGACTCCAAAAAAGCCAGTTCAAGGGATAAATCATGGTCCCACTGCTAATCTGGACTGACAGCGGGGGAACTTGCATAGGACCAAACTAGGCCCTTTGAATGTGGGTGACAGTTGTGGGGCTTGGGCAATCTGTGGTGTATCTATTTATAACAGTGGTATAGTGAAGCCCCCCTCCCCGTTATTCTGGTATGTGGGCCATCTGCCTCTTTATGTCCGTTAATATTAGTTTTATGAAAATGGGTAAAACATACGTGTGTGTGTGTGTGTGTGTGTGTGTGTGTGTGTGTTTGTGTGTGTATTCCCCTTCTGTCTGTTTTGTTTTATGTGCATTGGTTCTTGCCTACATGTATCCCGTGGTGTCACATACCCTGAAACTGGAGTGACAGATAGTTGTGATCTGCCATGTGGGTGCTAGGAATTGAATCCAGGTCCTCTGGAAGAGTAGCCAGTGCCATCTTTCCACCCTAAAGGTAGATTTTTTAATATAAATTTATGTTAATATTTCTAATATTTGGCATACTCCCCCTTTGCTGCAAGGTCTCACCATTTGTTACCAAGGTTTCTTTAAGGTTTTCTTTGTCTGTTTGTTTGTTTGTTTGTTTGCAATTGGCTCCCATAATTCCATATGGAGTGGCTATATTAGGAGGTGTGGCTTTTTTTGGGGTGGGTTGAGACAAAGTTTCTCTGTGTAGCTTTGGAGCCTATCCTGGCACTCGCTCTGGAGACCAGGCTGACCTTGAACTCACAGAGATCCGCCTGCCTCTGCCTTCCTGGTGCTGGGATTAAAGGTGCGCGCCAGGAGGTGTGGCTTTGTTGGAGTGGGTATGGTCTTGTTAGAGGAAGTGTGTCACTGTGAGGGAGGGCTTTGAGGATACTGCCCTTTGTGTCAGTCAGCTTCCTGTTGCCTATAAGGTCATTCTACCACCATGTCTGCCTGGTTGTCACCATGCTCGCTGCCATGGTGATAGAGTGAACCTCTGACACTCTAAGGGAGCCACCCCAATGGAACATTTTCTTTATAAGAGTTGCTGTGGTTGTGGTGTGTGTGTGTGTGTGTGTGTGTGTGCCTGTGCGACTATCTAGATCTGGCTTTCGTGTGGTTATCTAATGTGGGAAATTACCAATACGGAACCAGGTAAAAATACAAGGGAATTTAATAGGGAAAAGTCTTACTTACAGAGCGACCTAGCCAACTGGCTGGACAGAGGAAAGTACAGCAAGCCGAAGATGAAAGCGAAAGCAGGGCCAGCATGCAAGCTTCCCTCACTCTTCAACTTTCCCTACGTCACCCTGACCACGCCCTCGCAGGTGTGGCTACAGCATCCCCAAGGCTTTTCTTTGTGAGCCTCTTCCTGCCTATTTGTGTTGACATGGGCCTGAGTGTCTGCCAGTATTTTGGCTGTGCAGTGGCCTGTGTGTTGAGGAATAAAATATTTTATATCTGCCTACAATGGTCTTTAAACTTCATGTGTCCCGAGACACTCCTGTGTTTGTGACTTCAGAGATGGGATCATCTCACAGATACAAAACTGAACTTTTGCCTACTGCACGTTTGTCCCGTGGGATGAGCCATTGTAATGCTACATTCCCGCTGAGCGTAAGTTTGTGAAACTTGTGGCTTTGTTCTTTGAACAAGATGACCAATGCTTCGTTGTGACCGAGGTTTAAATCATGAGTGAGTCTTAGGCCTCTCACCTCCTCTGTGAAGGAGACTGGCGGATTGCCTTCTTTTTCAACTTAACTTTCTGTTTCTCTGGGGTTTTCCGGTAACTTATTTGCTTCAAATTGTTTTCACGCTTGAGAATCATGCATACATACAATGAGATGTGATCATATCCAGCCCCAATTTTCCCCTTCGTGTCTTTAAATTTTTAAAAATTTTCTGTGTATGGCCGTGGAGACAAGAAGGGGCATCAGATTCCATGGAGCTGGAATTACAGGTGGTTGTAAGGTGTCTAACACGGTACTGGGAATCAAACTCGGGTCCTCTAGAATAGCAGCACAATCTCTAGCCCCCTATCTTTTGTTGTGGTTGTTGTTGTTACCCTCTAAAGACAATTAGCGCTGTCCCTATGGGCATAGGTTTTGTGCCATCACTGGAACATAGGAAGCATACAAGTGGTCACATCCTCAAAAAACAGCGGCTCCTGGCAACTTTCAACTGCCCATGGCTGCTCCGTAAGGGGTGGAGCTACACACCTATGCCAGGATTAGGCTGCCTCCGTCCTGAGCAGGTCTAGTTCATGT